ACGAGAGGGAAGAGGGTCAGAGGGAGAAGCAGACTCCCTGCTGAGCAGGGAGCCCGATGCGGGACTCGATCCCGGGACTCCAGGACCATGACCTGAGCCAAAGGCAGTCGCCTAACCAACTGAGCCACCCAGGCGCCCAGTATTACGGTTTTTAGTCCTTTAACATAGGATGGCTTTCCATTTATTTATGTCTTTTTTTTCTAGCTTTATTAGGGTATAATTGACAAATATGATTGTAAGATATTTAAGGTGTGCAACATGGGTACACTTACATTGCAAAAGGCTTATTTATGTCTCTTAATTTCTTTCAGCAATGTTTTATAGTTTTCAGTGTACAGATATTTTGCCTCCTTTCTAGATATTTTATTCATTTTGATGGTGTTGTGAATAGAGTTTTAGAAATATTTTCTTTTGGATTGTTCATTGCAGTAGTAGAGAAACACAATTTTGGGTGTTGATTTTATATCCTGCAACTTTGCTGTATTCACTTATTAAGTCTAACTTTTTTGTGTGGGTTCTTTAAGGTTTTCTACATAGATGATCATGTCATTCTACAAGCAGATAATTTTACTTTTTCCTTTCTAATTTGGATGCCTTTTATAGTTTTTTTCTTTCCTAATTGCTCTGGCTAGAACTTTCACTAATATATTCAGTAGAAGTGACAAAAGCAGGCACTCTGTCTTGTTCCTGATCTTACAGAGAAAGCTTACAATCTTTTACCATTGAGTTGGTGTTAGCTGTGGGTTTTTCATATGTGCCTTTTTCATGTTGAGGAAATTCCCTTATAATTCCCAGTTTATTTTTTTTTTTATAATTTTAGCCATACTGTCACTTTATTTTCATTTTCATTTTTTTTTTAAGATTTTATTTATTTGACAGAGAAACAAAGCAAGAGAGGGAACACAAGCAGGGGGAGTGGGAGAGGGAGAAGCAGGCTTCCCATGGAGCAGAGAGCCTGATGGGGGGCTCGATCCCAGGACCCTGGGATCATGACCTGAGCTGAAGGCAGACACTTAACTGACTGAGCCACCCCAGGCATCACTCCCAGTTTATTTTTTATCATTAAAGAGTGTTTTGTCACATACTTGTTGTGCATCAGTGAGACAATAATGTGGTTCCCCCCGCTTCGTTCTGTTAATGTGTATATTGCTTGATACTCTGATTTTAATCCACCCTTGGATTCCTGGGATAAATCCCACTTGGTCATGGTATATAATCATTTTAATATGTTTCCAGGTTTTGTGTGCTAGTATTTTTTTGAGGATTTTTGTGTTTATATTCATAATGAATATTTTCTTTACTTGCGGGGTCTTTCTCTAGCTTTGCTATCGGATAATACTGACCTCATAAATGAGTTAGGACGTGTTCCCTTATCTTTGATTTTTTGGATGAGTATGAGAAGGATTGATGTTAATCTTTAAATGTTTAGTAGAATTTACAATGAAGACATCTGGTCCTGGGCTTTTCTTTGTTAGGAGATTTTTGATTACCAGTTCAATCCTCCTGTTATAGATTGTTGAGATTTTTCTATTTCTTCTTGAGCAAGTTTTAGAAGTTTGTGTATTTCCAGGAATTTGTCTATTTCATGGTTCTTTTTTTTTAAAAAGATTTTATGTATTTATTTGACAGAGAGAGACACAGCAAGAGATGGAACACAAGTAGAGGGAATGGGAGAGGGAGAAGCAGACCTCCCGCAGAGCAGGGAGCCCAATGCGGCGCTTGATCCCAGGACCCTAGGATCACGACCTGAGCCGAAGGCAGACACTTAACGACTGAGCCACCCAGGCGCCCCTATTGCATGTTTCATCTAGGTTATCCAATTTGTTGACCTACTGCTTTTCATAGTATTCTCTTATAATTCTTTTTATTTCTGTGTATTCCATTGTAATGTCCCCACTTTAATTTTAGTAATTTGAATCTTTTTTCTTAGTCAGTCTAGCTAACAGTTTGCTGGTTTTGTTGATCTTTTCAAAGAACCAACTTTTAGTTTCACTGATTTTTTTTCTATGCTTTATTTTATAGTTTCTCTCCACTCTGAATTTCCTTATTTCTGCTGCTTTAGGATTTAGTTTGTCCTTTTTCCATACTTCCTTAAAGTGTACAATTAGCTTATGAATTTGAGACTTTTCTTCTTTTTAAAAGTAGGCATTTATAGTTATAAATTTCCCTCTAGCACTACTTTCAGTATATCCCGTAAGTTTTGGTGTATTGTGTTTTTGTTTTCATTCATCTCAAGATATTTTCTAATTTCCCTTATGATTTCCACCTATACATTTAAATCAGTATTATTGTAGTAAGTTGTTGGTAATGATGTTTTACAATGATTTTTCCAGCATTTTTAGATTTTATATACCCAGATAGGGTGCCTTGCATCATAGTTTTTAAAATTTCAATGTGTTGTTTTTTTCTTAGAAGTTCCAAATTTTTTTCAAGTCTCCCTGTTTTGTTTTGGTTGTATCTTATTCCTTTATTTATGCTTTTGATTCCTGTTTTTATGTCTTTGTTTTAAACATTCTGTTCTAGGGGCGCCTGGGTGGCTCAGTCATTAAGCCTCTGCCTTGGCTCAGGTCATGATCCCAGGTCCTGGGATTGAGCCCCATATCGTGCTCCCTGCTCAGTGGGAAGCCTGCTTCTCCCTTTCCCACTCCCCCTGCTTGTGTTCCCTCTCTCACTGTCTCTCTGTCAAATAAATAAAATCCCCCCCCAAAATTCTGTTCTCATTTTATAATAGTTCTTAATCTTAATATCTACCCCTTTGTTTGAGATATCCCCTGATAGCACCCATGCTAAATTGTTTCATTGTATGTTTTATAATTTTATGTTGTATACTAATGTTTAGTGGGATTTTAATTATGGAAATTCCGTGAGGCCTTGGTTTGTCGGTTTAAGTTGGTATACATTTCATCTATCTGCCTGAGTGACAGGAACATGTGTTTTAAGTGACCAAAGGAAACTCTCCCACATCCCTCAAGCTAGAATGCAAGCTTCATGAAATTAGGAGTCTTTGTTTTATTTACCAGTGTCTTCCAAATTGTCTACTGCAGTGCATGCCATTTACTAGGTAGCCTACCTGTATTTGTTGAACTGAATTTATCATCTTTGTTTGCTGGTGGGTGGATTAATTTTGACAGATCCATAGTTTTTGTTTTTTTGACATATCCACAGTTTCATTGAGGAAGTAGTGAGGGACTATTCTATCAATAATGGCTACAGTTTTCTTTTGAATTTTTGCCTATTTGTTGGTAACGTGACTTTTACCCCATGCTATGCAAAAAGAAAATTCTAGTCCTCTTATGGTGAATGAACATTTGTCTCCTTCCTGGGTCTATTTTTGTTTCAGAGGCTTCACATTAGTTGAGTTTGGCTCTCTGAGCCATCTTCAATTTGTTTTTCACTAATCTTCAAGTTTATCTTTTTATGGAGGGTGAGAAGGCATATTTTACATAATTTTTTTTTAAATAAAAATAATCAGATTAAACTCTGAAGGTTAAAACCCAGCTTGGGGTGCCTGGCTGGTTCAGTCAGTGGAGCATGTGACTCTTGATCTCGGGGTCATGAGTTCAAAGTCCACATTGGGTGGAGTTTACTTAAAAAAAATAAATAAAATCTTTAAAAAAATCATTGTATTCATATGATATAGTTTAGTAGTGAGAATTTAGATAATCATCAAACATAAGGAACGATAGGTGAAAAGTAGAAGAGATTAGCAAAGGGAAAGCTTATGCAATTCTTTTTCAGCCTAAAGACATTTTTCTGATTTTGATACACTGTGGGCATACTGACGGAGAATATAACTTAATGGTTAATTTCTTTTTCATTTTAGTGTAATGCTCATTAAAGTATTTTATTTTATTTTTTTAAAGATTTATTTATTAGAAAGAGAGAGAGTGAGGAGGGTCAGAGGGAGAAGCAGACTCCCCGCTGAGCAGGGAGCCCGATGTGGGACTCGATCCTGGGACTCCAGGATCCTGACCTGAGCCGAAGGCAGTCGCTTAACCAACTGAGCCACCCAGGCGCCCTCATTAAAGTATTTTAAAATGAAATTTAAAGGCTGTTATCTGGCAGGTATTGGGATTATCTTTGAAAAACATTAAAGAAGAAAATTAACTATTTAATATCATAACATTACCAATAAATTTAGTAGACTTCTTATTCATTTGATATGATACAAATTAGATGGAACATGAATGTAAACAGAAAATTGCCACCCTGAGTACCTTAAAGTTATAAAGAGCTTGTTTTCAAAGATGTAAGTTCTTCCTTATATTGCCTTTTGTGATCATGTTGAACAACTATCTGTGGTTGATTAAAGAAGAGTATGAATTGACCCAACATTTGGTATTAAGGTGCTTTTAGTTCTGTTGTTAAAAATGGGGTCATGTGACATAATGATGACTAAATTTTGCTTCTTTGTTTTACAGTTCCAATTCCTGGCAGATTTGATCGGCGAGTATCAGGTATGTATTCTCTTTCATAACATACTGCTAAAATGCTGTTTTAAGATGGGATTATTTTAAATAAAAAACTGATCTTTTAAATAAAAAGGTAAGTTAGCATTACAGAACATTATAAAAATTACCTGTAATTCCTTCATTCTGTTTCATTTTGAGTTCTGAGAATATATGTACATATTTGTCTCATTTATGTCATTAATATTTTCCCATGTTTATAATTATGGCTTCTAAAAACTACCTTTTTTTTTTTTCCCAATGCTTCCATACATCACCCAATGCTCTTCACAATAAGTGCACTCCTTAATCCCCATCACCTGTTTAACCATCCCCACACACACCTCCCCTCTGGTAACTATCATTGTCTTCTCTGTAGTTAAGAGTCTGTTTCTTAGTTTGCCTCTCTCTCTCTTCCCCCCCTTTGCTCATTTGTTTTGTTTCTTAAATTCCACAGATGAGTGAAATCATGTGGTATTTGTCTTTCTCTGACTGACTTATTTCACTTCGCATTATATTCTCTAGCTCTGTCCATGTCATTGCAGATGTCAAGATTTCATTCTTTTTATGGCTGAGTAGTAGTCCATTACACACACACACACCCCACATTTTCTTTATCCATTCATCAGTCGATGGACACTTGGGCTGTTTCCATGATTTGGCTATTGTAGATAATACTGCTATAAATATCAGAGTGTGTGTATCCCTTTGAATTAGCATTCTTGTATTCTTTGGGTAAATACCTATTAGTATTTATAGCTGGATTATAGGGTAGTTCTATTTTTAACTTTTTGAGGAACTTTCATACTGTTTTCCAGAGTGGCTGTACCAGTTTGCATTCCCACCAACAATGCAAAAGTGTTCCCCTTTCTCCGAATCCTTGCCAACACCTGCTGTTTCTTGTGTTGTTGAGTTTAGCCATTCTGACAGGTGCGAGGTGATATCCCATTGTAGTTTTGATTTGCATTTCCCTGATGATAAGTGATGTTGAGCATGTTTTCATGTGTCTGTTGGCCATCTGGATGTCTTCTTTGGAAAAATGTCTATTCGTAAAACTCTTTTTCATATTATTATTATTATTATTTCTGGTATTCTAAATTATACTGTATTAACTACTTGCATACATTGTTGAGCCACTAAAACTGTTTATTCAGTTATAGTGCTGGGTAGCATTCTCTGGTCAGAGACTGAGCACTGCCTGAATTTTTTTCTGTATATTGCTTTCCAGAGGCAGTCTACAGAATAGGCTACGGGGAGAAAGACACCCTACAAAGGCTTCTCTCCCACCACCATCTCACTAACATAGATGGTGCCTATTTAATTTAGATGTAAAATAGTACTTCAGATTGTTTTATTTGGCACTCCTTTGATTATTAACAAAAATGAATATTTTCCAAATATGAGAAATCTATTTTTATTTTCTTATACAGGAATAGTTTGGCAATATCTTCCTCTGTTATGATCCAGATTATTTTTTTATAAGTTTGAGTAAATTTCTTTTTTTTTAAGTTTGAGTAAATTTCTATCATGATTTTTAACCTTTTGAAAATTTTAAAAAAGATTTATTTGAGAGAGAGAGAACATGAGCAGGTGGAGGGACAAAGGTAGAGGGAGAAGGTAGAGAATCCCAAGCAGACTCTGTGCTGAGTATGGAGCCAGACACAGGGCTTAATCTCACGACCCTGAGATGAGGACCTGAGCTGAAACCAAGAGTTCAACCGACTGAGCCACCCAGGTGCCCAACTTTTTGAAATTTTTAATGCAAAATTTTCCTAGTTGGTTGTGCTACTTATTTTAGTTTTGCTGTTTTTTTTTTGTTGACTCAAAAATTTTAACATGGGACTGGCTCCATGAACACTGCCTGGCACATAGCAATCACTCACTAAATGTTAATTGAATATATATATATATACACACACACATTTTTAAATAATTGCTCTTAAGCTGAGAAGGTCCACCTTTTTTTAAAGAGCTGATAAATGTATTTTCTAGAAATTTCCTTATAATTAAAGTGTTTGACTTTTGGATACATCTAGAGTTTATTTGATTGTATAGTGGGAATGTTAATGTGCTTCAAACTGCGATGTGAGCTATATGTATCACATCATTCTTTCATATCCCCTCATTCTAGAAAGGTTTCTTAATTTTAAATTGTCACATGACCTAATATGTAGTGAGACTAGGAATCCCTTTTTTTTTTTTAAAGATTTTATTTATTTATTTGACAGAGACACAGCGAGAGAGGGAACACAATCAGAGGGAGAGGGAGAAGCAGGCTTCCCGCTGAGCAGGGAGCCTGATGTGGGGCTCGATCCCAGCACCCTGGGATCATGACCTGAGCTGAAGGCAGATGCTTAACAACTGAGCCACCCAGGTGCCCTTTTCTGTCCCTCAGTCCTCTTCTTTGAGAAAATCTCATTTGTGTTTCAGAAAGCCTTTGGTAAGGTTGTACACCAAAGTCTGTTGAAAGGAGATTGAAAAAAATACGTTCTGTGTAGAGAGACATTACAGAGAAGAAATAGAGTGGGGATTAAAGGTTGGTACGAGATCCGTGAGCTGTTATCTTCCATTTGTGTTCATCCTTGCCCTATACCCCCTTTTCCTAAATGATTAGTAATATCTCTTGACATCTGTAGGACAGATCTGGGAAATGGAGAGTACAGTGACATCTCCTCCAGAGGTCACGGATGGTGTTCATGAATTGCTATTTAAGCTTTCTGTCAGTGTTGTTCAGGTCTTGAACTCTGTGGAGAACTCAGACAAGTACATGGTATTATCCCTCCTCCTTAGATTCAACAATCTAATTGAAGATTTTAAACTTTAATATTATTCAAGTGTTAAGTTAAAAGATTCTTAAAAGAATCCAAAATGATTATGTAGGAGAGAAAATAGCCTGTAGGAATAGCTAATGTTTTTTTTAATCCAGACTATGTGCTAGGTGCACAATTTTAGGGTCTCTCGAAATGCCTCCCTTGTGTCATTGAACATAGTCCTCATATTAACACTATGAGGTACATGCCATGATTATCCCCGCTGTACAGATGCAGAAACTGAGGACAAAGCAGAAGTCAGGTCACTTGGAACAAAGTGATAATGTGCCCAAAGATAGCATGGGTCCTAAGTACTACCCTTCCTGTCTCTAAGGACCCTTTCTTATACCCTCTGGACCTCTTGGTCAGTTTTCATCTAAATCCCCTAAATTCTCAGCCTGTACACTCTTCCCTCTCCAGCCTTTCATCTTCTGGATCTAGCTGAAGGTTGGCTTGCCCTGCAGTCTTCTCAAATGGTGATTCTTCTCTTCCACCTTTCTTGTAACACGGACAGGAGATGGGTAAATGTTTTTATACTCCTTAGTGCTTCCAGACTGTTCTCCTACCTCCTCCCTACAACCCTCACCTTCAAACCTCACATTATTATATTCTATCAGCCATTTCCCCTCCTTGTTTTAGTTATCTAATAATGCATGGGCTGTTTTCTTCTGATTTCCATATAGATGATTCTTTCAATGTCTTGCCCTTCCATTCCTTGACCTCTTGTCTTCCACCCTACTTTAGCTACTCCTCCCCCTGGTCCTACTCTGGGGTGACAAGCATTACAACTCTTTTTTTTTTTTTTTTAGGGATGGGGTAGAGGGGGAAAGAGAGAGAGAATCTTAAGCTCACGCAGGGCTCAATCTCATGACTCCGAGATCATGACCTGAGCCGAAATCAAGAGTCAGATGCTTAACCAGCTGAGCCACCCAGGCACCCCAAGCATTACAGTTCTTCATACTCAATCAGTGATCCTAATCTCCCACCACCTGCTGTCGTCTGGGCTCTTGCTGTCCTGCTCCAACCCTGACAACTTGATCTTCGTTTTTGTTCTTCGCTTCACCTTTTACTAATCTTAAATTCCTTGATCAGCGATTATAACCATTCTGTGGCACATACCCTCAATTTCCTTTTTCATTTTTACTTACTTGGCTAAACTATATTCTGTTTAAGCCCAGCTGTCCACTTATTCTGACTCTGCACCACAGCAGTACATGATTGAAGGAAAATACACAGCCCTGTTGACTGATCTTACTCAGTACCTGATCATTCACTAGTAGGCTCTGGATGCCAGCAGTCACACTGTGTCTCTGTACTTCTTTCGCTCTCCTGTTCTCCCAGATAAGCCTTTCATACCTTCTTTCTCCCAAAACCTGCACCTCCTCCTTAATCTTCATGCCTGGCAGATGATTTTGTTCTTAACGAAGAAAACAGAAGCAACAGAAGATAGCTTCCATAGACTCCCACCACATCTATCCTTCCTTACCTGCCTATGAGTCCAGTGTCCACCTGTACACTAGTTCATCCCTTCATCCTGCATACTCTTTATCCTTCAGGGGGATTATTCTTCTCAGAGGAGAAACACAGCATTGACTTCCAGTTCTTAAAAAATAAAATAAAGCTTTTTTTAAACCACTCTTCCCTCTCCAGCCACCACCCTTTTTTTCTCCATATCTTATAGCAAATTCCTTGAAGGAGTTGTCCATATTTGCCGTATTTAAGTTTCTCTTCTATTCTCTCTTGAGTCCAGTCTAATCAGACTTTTGCTCCCATATCTCATCAAAACTATCTTTGTGGATTGCTTATTCACATCCTTCAGACCTTCATTTGAAAGACACCTTCTCAGTTAGGTCTTCATTAAGACCCAACACACACACACACACACACACACACACACACACACACACCCATACACCCATCTCCCTCACTTTATTTTCTCCTTACTGTCTGTCTCCCACTCTCTCCCCCTGTTATTTGTCCTATTTATTATCTAGTTCCGTATGCTGGAGTGTAAGCTCCAATCAGGCAGAGAAGTTTCATCTGTTTTGTTCATTGATGCATATAGTTAACACTTAGAACAATGTCAGTAAATATGGATGGATGGATAGAAGAAAGGAACAAAGGAAGGGATCAGAAATCAGGAGAAGAAATTACTGTGGACAGAAAAAAATCAAGAGACATTTCTTTGAGGGAGGCAGA